CTGGAGCCATGGCCATGCAGTTATAATTAATATAAGCCTCTGTGTGTTTACTTGGGGGACACAAGTGGGAGAGATTTGTCCCGACCTCCAGCAGGCCAAGACACAGGAAATCTTCTGGCTACAAAGGAAACTTGGCATCTCATAATGCCCAGGAAGTAATATAGACAGGAAGGGCCAGGGTCCCAGAACCTCCTTTTAGGGCACCTCCCCCAGTGACCTTCCCACCTTCTATAGGTTCCACCACCTCCCAATAACACCACAGGCCGGAGACTAAGTCGGAACTGGAAAGGGCCTTTGAGAACATTCAAGATCTACAGTACAGTAATTCACAAGGAATTACTTGTGTAAAAGGAAGTCCATTATGGCAATATCTAGAATAATATTAAATAGAGACACCTAATTATCTATAAAAGGGTAACAGAAAAATAAACCAATACTGTCCATACAATGGAATACTCTACAGTATTTTTAAAAGAATGAGGCAGGTTGTGAGTAGAAACAGGAAAGGTTTTTGACACATCCTTGAATGAGAAAAGCAATTTTGAAACATTATATCCTGGATGGAAACATTATTAGAAGACACAACCCCCTTCACCAATGTACAAAGCACCTTTACCAGGTGTGTGTGTATGTATGTGTGTGTTTGTGCATGTGCGTGTGCACATGCATGTGTGCCTGAGGTTGTCCCTGGGTGTCTTCCTCAATTACTTTTCACTCTGGTTTTTCTGAGATATATATAAAATATCACCACAGTCTTTCACTAAATCCAGAACTTGGAAATTCTGCTGGACTGGCCAGCAAGCTCCAAGGATCCGTGTGCATGTTTCAATGTCCCAGGGCTGGGATTACAGGTGCACACTGCTGTGCTAGCTGGCTGGCTTGCTTTCCTTTTTAAAAATACCTTTCTTTCTTAAAATATTTTCATTTTATGCCTAAGAGTGTTTTGCTATTTGTACCATGTGCATGCAGTACCTGAAGAGTCCAGTAGAGGGCATAAGATCCCCTGAAACTGTTGTTAAAGGTGGTTTTGAGCAGCCATGTCCCCAGACTTGCTGGCAATTGAACTCTCTGGAAGAGCAGCCAGCTTTCTTAACTGTTGAGCTTTTCTCTAGTCTCTCTCTCTCTCTCTTTTTTTTCCCTATGGGTGTTGTTGAGAGAACTCAGGTCCTCATATTTGGTACCAAACGCTCTATCACCTGAGCTTTCTCTCCAACCCTTAATTGTATGTGATTTCTAAGGGTGTATAATTCACAGAAAATGTTCTTTTTTTCCATAAGTTTTTAAAAAATTGATTCTTTGGGAATTTCACATCATGCATCCCAATCCCACTCATTTCCCAGTCCTTCCATGTCCTCCCTCCTCCCCTGTAGCACCCCCACAAAAGAAAAAATTCTCTCCTCAGTCTTTCCTACCTCTCCATCACATTTGCATTTGTCTTCGTGGCACTGGGAGCTGCGGTGTGCTGTGCAGAGGGCTTTCGAATGTCAGGGACAGCTTTCCCATGCACATGCTATTGGGGTTAGTTCTGGGGGGCTTGGGGGGGAGCTCTCCCTCTGAGGAAGCTTGTGAGGGGTGCCCCGGCCACCAGAGCCACACAGAAATCATTCTTAAGAATAAGCCCCTAATGACAGTAGCTTGTCTAGGTAGGGGAAGAGCAAACAAAATGGTTTATTCAAAGAGGCCTTTAAACCTTTTCCGCAATGCTGGCAGTTTTGATTTTGTTTTTGATATCCAGTGAGGAAGCATCACACATGTCTTGCTTGTATAGAAACTGAATTTTTTTTTTCTCTGAAATACTTGGAACTGGAGCTTTGGATTTCAAAAAATCTTGGAATTTGTTTATAGATAACAGGAAATTCTGGGGATAGGACCCCAGTCTAACAGTAACTTCATTTATCTTTCCTTTCTACCTTACACACACAGGCTGGAGGTCACTCATGCAACGTTCTTAATACATCTTCATTTTGATGGTGACTTGTTACATGAGGTCAGAGGGAAGGAATGCTCAAAAGCTGTAAGATTTGGGGGCATTTCATACCTTGGGTTTTCAGACTGAGGGTGGTGTGGTGGTATTGTGTTCTCCGAAATATTGTGCACCCTAATAAACTTACCTGGGGTCAGAGAACAGAACACCCACAATATTAAACATAGAGGATAGGCAGTGGTAGCATTCCACTAGCATTCCCGAGGCAGAGATCTACCTGGGTCTCTGTGTGTTCAAGGATACAGCCAAGCATGGTGACTCGCTTTTAATCCCAGAAAGTGAGCCTTTAATCCCAGGGAGTGATGGCAGATGGCAGAAAGGTGTGTAAGGCGTGAAGACCAGAAACTAGAAGCTTTTAGCTGGTTAAGCTTTCAGGCTTTGGAGCAGCAGTTCAGCTGAGATTCATTCTGGATGAGGACTCAGAGGTTTCCAGTCTGAGGAAACAGGATCAGCTGAGGAACTGGCGAGGTGAGGTTAGCTGTGACTTGTTCTGCTTCTCTGATCTTCCAGCATTCACCACAATAACTGGCCTTAGGTTTGCTTTTATTAATAAGTACCTTTAAGATTCATGCTACAGGGTGGGTCATCTCCCGCAGCTGTGCCTGTGAGAACCAAGTCTAGGGAAGTTGGAGGAGCAGGGGAGATGGTACCCGGTACAGGCCAAGGCTAGGGGCAAGGCTCCCCAACAGCCAGTGTGACAAGTGATAGGTCTACTTTACCATTGGATCAGGCTGTGCCAGGCCTTGGGGTCCTTGGCCCCGCCACCTCTTAGGAGGTGAGAGGAGATCAAGTTTCAGAATCAAGCCACTTGGGTCTCAGACCCTTCACACACTCCGTCTGTGCTCCAATGGATATGATTCAACTTCTCAGTGCTTTAGCCCCCTCTAGTGGAACATGGCTGTCACAACATGGAATGCTGTGAGGATGAAATGAACTCACCCAATAAAGTCTAGGAGTGTCTCCTGACACAGAAGGATCACCGTGGGAACGTTATAACAACATCATAAACCCTCTGGTTCTCTCCCATCTAGAAGATTTCCCAGCCTCCGAGGTGGTAATCACCATCAAGATATCGCTAGTGTTTGTGGTTTCTGACGGCAGGCTTAGCATTTTCAGTGCTCTAGAGCCTCTTCTTTATTTCAGACCCTTGGTAAGGGAGGTCGCAGGCAGAATTACAAGTGCGGAGAGGAACATTTCGTTGTATAAATGGCGAAATTGAGGCTCGGAAAGGAGAGTCATGTGGTTTGTCGCACCATGACGCTGGCAGCAGAGCCAGCTCCGATTCCCTGTTAGCTCTTCTGAGTCTTCTCAGAGGTCTCTTCTCTTCTGTCTCTTCACACACACCTCGGGCAGAAGAGGGAAAGTGGGGATGGCCTGCAGGACAGCAGAACTGGAAGCGTTGTCAAAAGACTAACTTGCTCCAGTTAGAAAACGTGTTTTCGCCGGGCGGTGGTGGCGCACGCCTTTAATCCCAGCACTCGGGAGGCAGAGCCAGGCGGATCTCTGTGAGTTCGAGGCCAGCCTGGGCTACCAAGCGAGTCCCAGGAAAGGCGCAAAGCTACAAGAGAAACCCTGTCTCGAAAAACCAAAAAAAAAAAAAAAAAAAAAAAAAAGAAAACGTGTTTTCTATGACGTTTTAGTCAGTGGGTGAGTGTATAAATGACAGCATCACCATGAAGACCAAGGGTGGATCAACCACACCGCTGAGATTTGTTTAAATGTACTGCGATGGTGCTAATCATTTTTAAAGTGTGTGTGTGTGTGTGTGTGTGTGTGTGTGTCCGTGCACGCGCACATGTGCACACACACACACACACAGGCACACACACACCTGTGGAGAACAGATGATAACCTCAGGTGTCAATCTCAGGAGTGCTGTCTATCTTCCTTTTGAAATGTTCTCTAGGTAGCCTGGCACTCACCCATTGGGTTAGACTGCTGGACAGCAAGTTCCGGGTTCCTCTTCCTGTCCTAGTCTCCCCAGGGCTGGGATTACCGATCTATGCCACTGCACACAGCTCCTTTTGTTGGGGCACTGAACTCTGCTCCTCATGCTTGTGCGGAGAGCACTTTACCAACTGAGCTATTTCCCCATCCCCACGGCCAATCTTGATTGTTAACCTGTGGGTGTGTAGAGCCACACCTTTGGGCGTATCTGTTATGGTGTTTTCAGAAAAGTTTGTCTGAGATGGGAAGACCCGCTCTGGATGTGGATGGCATCATTTCATGGCTGAGGTTCCAGACTGAATCAGGAGAAAGTGAGCTGAGCACCAGCATTCATTTCTTTCTGCTCCCTGGCTGCAGACCCAACTTGACCGTGCTTTTGTGGCCATGCCTCCCCTGACTCAATGAATTGTCCCCTCAGACTATAAGACTTTCTTTATGTTGCTTTTGCTGAATACTTAGTCACAGCAGTGAGAAAATGAACTGAGACCTCAAACAGCCTGTGATGTTTTCACAAGGACACCAGGTCTACCAACAAATTTCCCAGAACTGATCTTTAAGTGACACACGGCTCTGGAAACACCCCCACATTCTATGGAGGCCACAGTAGAGACACAGATAAGCTTGGCTTTGAGTGGATGCCACAGGACAGGGGCCGTTGAAGCCCAAAGAGCAACAGAAAGGAGACACCTGTGCAGGAGGCTGGAGACGGAGACACGATTTTGAGGCAGGCAGCTGCCCTCCCTCACATGGAAACAGCCCCCACTCTTCTTCAATATTGACCTGCAGAGAAAGAAAAAAAAAAACATCTTAATACTTTTTCAGTGGATCATGAAGCGGTTTATTTAATATTATTTGGATAACAAGCCGCCGCATGAATGGGATTCGAATGTCAATTGTCTTAGGGGAAAAAAGATTTATTGGTTGGTAAATATTGAGAAAGGAAAGCTGATAAAGACCAGCTTCAGCTGCGGCCTCTGCTGGGAACGGGAGAACAGGCCTGTGTTGTATTTTGGGGCCCTGGGAAGGCAAAAACTGGTGAATGTCTGCCTTTGTTGGTGGGTGTAAAAGTGGAGCCCACCACAAATAATTTCTTATTTCTGTTCACATAGATTTTAAATTATGTAGCTCCCCTACCTTGTTAAGTATTAAAGCAGTCTTGTTTAAGGAAAAGGCATTCCAATAATGAAGCTTATGTAGCTTGTTTCCAGACATCAATATCTGGCTTTGAGTGGCACAAAGAGATAAAGGAATGTGGATTCACAGCTCCCTAGGATGTTTGGCAATTCTAATTCAACCCGGCTGCAAATGGACACAAGACTGTTGTGACTTCTCCTGAAGAGAAAGAAGGCTGGGTGAGCACGTGGTTTGGGGAAATTGTATTCTCTTCTTCGAATTCTTCTGTTTCCGAACATTTAATCCTACTGTTCTCCTCTCCGATGAAGGTCTCTTTGGTAAAGAATCTCTTTCCTGAAATGGCTGAGAGTGACTGAAGCTGGATTCAGAAGCTCACAGAGCTGGGGAATGAGAGCTGCAGCAAGACTCGTGAAGGGAAAGGCTGCCATCTTGTGGTCAGATTGGTGCTCTGCATTCCTGCAAACAGTCTCTGCAGAAGCCCAGGAGCCTGGTGGGAAGGAGGCTGCAAGCTGGATTTCTGCAGGACAGTGTGAATGCCTGTAGGAATCACCCACACAGTGGCCAAGTGCCCTCCAAGGTAGGCTCCAGTGGGTATTTTGCATGTATATTGTCATTCGAGAGCCAAGCCTCAGACACTGTAGACTGGGCAAAAATGAGCAGAAACACTGTAAAAACAATTCCACAGTGAGAACAAACAGCCAGACACATATGTACCATGTGCTTACTGTGTTTCTGGAAGACAGCCAGGAATAGACAACCAGGTGAAGAACACCCAGGCCAAGGTAAAGAGATAAGAACTTGAATGTCAGTTTATATGGAAAGAAACAGACAGAAGAGGCCTGTAGCTTTTCATCTAGCAGGACACCTGGTCAACCCCCAGACATAGCCAAACCAGAACAGGCAAAAATCTATGGCCTTGGGATTTATTTATTTTTATAAAATTGTATAAAGATAGTTGTGAAAATGTTACACATGCTGTGAAAAAAGAAAACCAAATAGTACAGAGAGGTTTAGAGAGCAAAGGAAGATTGGAGTCGTGAATACCCTAGTCCCTTCCCGCTTGCACTTAATCAGCTTTCCAGACATCTTGCCACAAATATACTTAAGTGGAAATTCAAAACATAGTTTTATTTAAGTGTAGTCAGACCTTCCATCCCATTGGGTAGTGTTTTGTCACTTAGCACAGTGCAAGATAGAACATTCCAGGTCAATAAGAATTAAGCCAGCATTGTTTTTTTTTTTTTTTTAAATCTGTTGTATGATTAATAGCTAACAGTATTTACTAGCCACTTGGCTTCTGCTATGTGCTGGGCACTGTATTGAATGCTTGGCATAACTGATCTTCTGCAGTCTAACGACAATTGCTTCCAAGCAGAGGTGTTTGTTATGTCCTTCACAGCGACGGTGAGACTGGAGCACAGGATATTAACCAGCACTGTTCTCAGAGCCCGTGCTCTCCTTTATACACTTGTTTTAGACTGTCACACATGAGTACGAGGTTTCTGTCACTGGCATCCCTCCCGCTCTGTGCTTCAACTCCTCCTGTGGCCCTCCATCTCCCTCTCAGGTTCATGACTCCTTCTTTAATTACTGTTTTACACACACACACACACACACACACACACACACACACACACACATACACACACACACACACACACACACACACACGATGGTGCGCACATATATAAATACAGCCTGCTTAGCCCATTAGCATTGTTCATGTGTGTATTTGTTTGGAACTAACCATTTGGGATTTGATAACCATCAAGAAGACTGCCCCTGGAGAATTCTCTCTCTCTCTCTCTCTCTCTCTCTCTCTCTCTCTCTCTCTCTCTCTCTGTCTCTCTCTCTCTCTCACCATTAACATCTGGCGATATAATCTAGGAGCAGAGGCTTGTGAGATTCCCACCATCCATGTTGGCATGTGAACTGGTGTTGCTGTGGTGTTACTGTGGAGTCTTGTTTAGGTGGCCACAGTTTTAATATTGTTCAGCTTCCTTGTCATAAATAGAAGACAGGATCTCGCAGCAGACCTTCTGATTTTCCGACTCTTAAAATGTTTCTACCCCCTTTTCCACGATGTTCCCTGAACTATAGGTATGGCAGTTGTATTGTAAATGTACTAGTTGGGTTTGAACACCCCACAGTCTGCATTTTGACCAGTTGTGGGTTTCTGTTATGGTCTCTGTAAAAAGAAGCTTCTTTGATGAAGGGTGAAAGCTGCACTTACCTGTGGTTATAAGGATAAGTAATTATAGCGCAGAGAGATATTATACTATTATACATGATATAATTTATTATAAATTATATTATGGTTTGGAAAAGTGGCAGTAGTAGATTCTCCTCTAGAGTTCATGACCTTATAGGCCATGGGTAGTTGGCCAAGTTTATAGTATCAGGCATGATTTCTCTCTCGTTTTTAAAAAATTTTTTTAAATTCATTTTACATACCAACCACAGATCCCCCTCTCATCCCTCCTCCCACTCCCTCCACCTCTCCCTCACTCCTCATCCCCTCCTCCACCAGGATCAGTTCTCCCATTGGGGGGGACAGCTAAACATGATACATTTGGTTGAGGCAGGACCAAGCCTCTCCCCACTGCATCAAGGGTGAGCAAGGTGTCTGATCATAGGTAATGGGATCCAGAAAGCAAGCTCATGCATCCAGATCAACTGCCAGCTCCCCCCCACCTCAAACAGATCCAGCTACACAACTGTTTCCCATATGCACAGGGTCTAGTCCGGTCCCGTGCAGGTTCCATAGCTGTTGGTCTAAAGTTTGTGAGTTCCTTTGATCTTGCTTCAGTTGTCTCTGTAGATTTCCCCATCATGATCTTGACCCACCTTGCTCATATACGCCCTCTTCCTTCTCTTCAACTGGACTCCTGGAGCTTGTTCTGGTGCTTGGCTGTGGATCTCTACATCTGCTTCCATCAGTTACTAGATGAAGGCTCTAAGATGACAGGGTATTCACCAATCTGATTACCAGGGTAGGTCAGTTCAGGCACCCTCACAACTATTGCTAGTAGTCTAGTCTGGAGTTGTCCTTATGTGTTCCCAGGAATTTCCCTATCTCCAGGTTTCTCCCTTACCCCATAATGTCCCCTCTATGGAGACATCTCTTTCATTGCTCTCCCACTCTGTTCCTCCCCCAGCTCAACTATCCCGTTCCCTCATGTTCTCATCCCCCACCCCCTCCCCTCTATTGCTCTTTCCCTCACACCCAGTTTACTCATTGTAATCTCCTGTTTCCCCTTTCCAAGGTGATTCATACATCCCTCTTAGGGTTCTCCTTGTTTCCTAGCTTCTCTGGAGCTGTGGGATTGTAGTCTGATTATCCTTTGCCTTACATCCAGTATCCACTTACGAGTGAGTACATACCATGTTTGTCTTCCCGAGTCTGGGTTACCACACTCAGGATGATATTTTCTAGTTCCATCCATTTGCCTGCAAACCTCATGATGTCATTGTTTTTTACTGCTGAGTAGTACTCCATTGTGTATATGTGCCACATTTTCTTTATCCATTCTTTGGTTGAGGGACATCTAGGTTGTTTCCAGTTTCTGGCTATTACGAATAATGCTGTTGTGAACATAGTTGAGCAAGTGTCCTTGTGGTATGATAGAACATCCCTTGGGTAAATGCCCAAGAGTGGTATCATTGGGTCTTGAGGTATATTAATTCCCAATTTTCTGAGAAACAGCCATACTGATTTCCAAAGTGGCATAATTTCTCTCTTATTGAGTCCAATTACAAAACTATTGGTTGTCTTCAAGATATAAATGCCACTTTTGCACTATCTTGCCATACTGGTTTTTGTTGTGGTTCACAGGTTTTATGGTTAGGAACAACTATTGGTTGCTTTTATCCCTTGGGAGTTTACATAAGAGCCTGTGTTTTTGATCAGTAGGCCAGCAATGCACCATCATTCACTTAGCATGTTTCAATGATGGACATTAAATTATTTCCACATTTTCTGGTATTAAACATGAATGGACTGAAGGGTAAACTGTATGTCTCACTGGGCCACACTCCAGCTTCCAGGGCAATATTCTTCTTTTTTGTTACTTTTATTTTTGTTTTGTTTCTTTGTTTTGTTGGGTTTCTGTTTTTTTTCTTTTAAATTTGGTTTTGATTTGGTGGAGGAGGTTGGCAAGGGTGGAGGACAGATTCGAGAAGATGCGAAGATAAGTGGGGTCAGAATGCATGATGTGAAATCCACAAAGAATCAATAACAATTTTAAAAAGATAAGGCTGTAATGAAGCTGCAAGGCATAAAAGTCTTCGCACATTAGTACTCACTAGAGAGTTAATCTGAAAGTGGGGAGTGGGTAATGCACATTTTGATCAGTGCACTCTGTCGTCAGAGAACACAGGCACCATCTGTACCTGAGGAACCCCAGTGCCCATGTCATAATAGGGCATCCCATTCCCTCTCTTCTATTTAAAGAAATGGGAAGCAGAAATCAATGAAAGAGAAACACTGATCATAGGTTGTCGATGGCTGGAATTTTGTTCCCACTTAAGGCTTTTACTAGAATTCATCACATTCAATTCAATTTGTTCTAGCTCAATTAAAAACTAATTCAGGAATATGTCTGTCTAGGCCTCCTTTGTCGTGTGTCCCCTCTAGTGTCTCCTTCTGCTTTTTAGAAAATGGCCTCTGAAAATACTACAGGAACATGTACAATCTGCTCCTGTAAATGGTTCAGCTGTTACAGGTGACCAGTTGTTATCATCATCCTCAGCTGCTTCCTCTTTCTCCCTGCATTCATTTTATATCAAGCTTTAGTGTCTAATTATTCTAGTATATCTCTTAAGAACAAAGACCAGCTGCTTTATTAGTATAGGATAACCATTGTAGTGGGGGTGGGGGTGGTATAGATTTCACATTGATAAACCTAACTAAGACAATCTCCTCTCTTCTCTGGTCAGGCACATAGCCTCGTGAACCCTATGTCCTTTCTATGTCTCTGTCTCACCCCGTCTCCGCTAGACTGAAGTCTCCTTAGGAACAAGGGTTGGGTCTTATTTATGTTAAGATCTTTAGCGTGTGGGCTAGATCTGGGGCACCTGATGACATTCACATTGTTTTAAATTGAGCTAGAACAACCTGAATTGAATATGATGAATCCTAGTAAGAGCTGTAAGAAGGAGCAAAACTCCAGTCACCTACAACCTATGATCAGTGTTGCTCTTTTATTGATGACTGTCTCCCATCCCTTAATGAGAAGAGAGGGAATATAATACCCATTCTTTCCCATCAATGGCCTCATTGAAATGAAGAAGCCTCAATGAAGGGTTAAGGGACGACCCATAGGTGGCCTCAAGTACCCAGTGAGGGAGCCACAGTATGAGACACTTCCAGCAAAAATACATTTCTCAGTCCTCTTCAGTTTAAAACAGAGTTCCTTTTTAACTCCTTGAGTCATAAAAAAGTAAAACTTTAAATATCTTAAATACTATTTGCATCTATGAGATTTAGAGTAACTATTAAACTATTAGTATTAGTGAAGTAACTGATAGATCTAACAGTCAACAGATATTGAGGTTATGTTGTTAAAAACCATCAAC